CCAAATGACGGTATGGTGTCGGTGTTTTCCAACTGGTGCTCATTATAAATAGGAGGCCTCTTGGTTTTGTTGTCTGGCAGCTCATTTTGTCCTTGAACCAAGTATAAACACTGATTATTCAGAGTGCATAGCTCCATTTTGGATTCTGCCGTGGCGTCGGAGTAGTGTGAAAGTCGGCGGACCCCTGGCCTTGACCAGCTGAGAGCCAGTGTGTCGGTTTCTATGGTAATGGTGAAAAAGTAACTACCTCCCAGCAGCGCCCCGCCGCGTGTCGCCTCCCCAATGGAGCGCATCTGCAGAATACAGGGAGGGGGAGGGACCCGGCGAGATGGGCAGTGACCCGTCATCACACCAACTCTCATGCATGTGCTCGTATATAGACATTGAATTCGCCTAAATTTTGTTTTCGCGCCGCATGTGTCATAACTCTTGAGAGTGAGAGGGGGAAAGAGGGAGGGGGAGAGAGAGAGAGAGAGAGATTCCCAGTTCAGTCAAAAGTGGAGCGTGAATGGAGTTTAAAAAAAAAAAAAGCTGTCATAAGGATGGAGTGTGTGTGTGGGGGGGGGATACAACAACAAAGTGGGGAGCATAAGAATCTTACCAAAGAAGACTTCAAATCAAAAATCATCCTGAGACCGGTGTACTCGTGTGTGTGTCCAAATGTGGTTTTCATTGCTTGTTAAAAAATAAAAATGTCACCCTGCCCGACATACTGTACTATATTCAATTATTGAGCCACTACTAATTTTGTTCTTCTAATGACCTTTTCGTATGATAATTTACATTATTAAAAAAAAAAAAAGTGAAAAGAAGCATCAACAACAATCAACGCATTTAATGGCGGCCTTGGACTATCTTGACAACTTTCGGCCGGGATGTTTTTAAAACCCCTTTGTCCACTTTTCAGAAGTCAGAGTTTGTGTTGGCAGTCAAACGGCTTCACCGTGGAAAAAAAAAAAAAAAAAATGAAGACCGCTCCGAAACAAAGGCGACCCCTGAAAAGAAACTAATGTGAGATGAATGGGAAGGAAATAGTCCAAACCCCAGGAGGTCATTAATGAGAAAACCATAAACTTTCAAAAGAGTCACACTGGCTTGTTTGTTTCCTTGAAGCGTCCCAGCTTTGAAACTTTAACCGCTTACGTGTCTCGACCTCCACGAAGGTAAATCTCAATAATACGCAGAGCCGAAAATGTGTAAATCGTGTTCGCGCGACTTCTTTTTTTGTAGTGTTTAGGCACTGCTCTTGCTGCTCTCTGACCTCCCTCCTCCCTGACTCCGACCCCCCTCTGTGGTTTCCCATGAGCCTCCAATTGACTCAATTAAGTGAACACACAACTACCATATGCTTAAAGATGTTTGTTCTCACAAAACGGCCTCGCAGCTGCATCGAGGAGGCTCACGGCAGTGGGAACTTGAGCGAAGACCAAACGTCCTCCCATCCTGTGTTCCTGTGATCTTTTGTCATTTGAAAGAGTGTCCCGTGGAAACATCAGAGTGGCCAAAAATGGACAGAGAGAGAAAAGTGACAATGAAGGAAAGTTAAGAAAGTGAATGAGGGGAGGATCAGGAACGGCGAGTGAAAAGGAGGGAGGGGCGGCGAGTCGCCATCAAAAGTTGTTCGGCGCCATAACTCCTCTTTGTTTTGGCCACAATCACGTCTACGGCATGTTGGCCCGCAGCATGACATTCGGCGGAGAGAAATAAGGCAAACAGAACATCGCAAAAGGCGCTTCGCCTTGCCGCCTCGGGCTTTTGTACTCGCGGGGGACTGTTCACGGTGCAGCCGAGGGCACAAAACGTGGAACAAAAGGGGCAGTGTGGAGGAAGGCACTATCCCTGACATCCCCAGCACTTTGAACAACTTGTCAACGTGGACACTCAAGCGCCTCCACTCTGTCACGTTGGTGTACAGAGCCCTTGAAAGGCCTTGCTGACCTGCCCATATCCCTTTGCCGGGGTTCAAATGGCAAGAAGCCTTCATTGTGTCGGCGAGAGTTCATTAAATTCATTGGTTTGACCTGTTATTTCTCGGCCAAAAGTCTGCTGATTTGGAAAAATGTGAGTCAGCCGTACGTAATCGCCTCGTGACCTTCGCGGGGTAAAAAAAACAAAACAAAAACCTTTGAAGAGTTTTTCAAGGCTTTTATATGAATGGAGTCAAAGGGAAAGTTGGAGACATATCTATAGCAGAACAAATGGATTGACATCAAAAGGGAATTGGAAATAATACAAAGATAGTTACACTTCTAATGGTTCTGGGGGCTCCCCCTCCCCACCCCACTCCCTACACTTAATATTTCGACCTAAATGCGTTTACCAACTCATTATTTCCGTTGATTCCCCACAAGTGAAGAGGTCGGTCTTGGAGAATCGAATACATGTTCTGAAAGGTTCGTGGCGTCGGCTGTTGAGATGTCGGAACACGTCGTGGAAAACGTGAGCCTCTTCGTTCCCATAACGTGGCCACATTTAGATGTAAATTGGCTCATTGGGATGGCCAGACTCTCAGGTTTGCATTTATCTCCCATTTATTCTTGTCATACACTTGCCAGGCTGCGCAACAACTTGGTCCTGAGAAGATGATTTTGAAAAGCTTTAAAACAGGCAAACTCGATTGAACTCTTGAAAAGAGACGTTAGTGGATCAGGGTTGAATTATAAATACAGGTCATTGATTTGTAGCGCTTTGCTTTCAATGCAAACCATCTAGATTGGGATATCTCAGAACTGCGTAGGCTAAGCTCCCTCTGCGATCCTGCTTTTTGTACCTTCATTGCTTGACTTTAACGGCTCAGGTATACGAGTTGGTCCTGAAAAGGCCAAAAAATGTCAACAGTACTTTCAATGTATTCTTTTTTTTAATTCTCTTCTCAAGTTTCCATTATATTGTGTGGGTGTGGACGGACACAGTGATTTGCAACGTGGCAGATCTGAACGGCATCTCTGAGTGGTTGCATCTTAATATTTGATTGCTTGTGACGACTCATACGAACACTTGAACCAATAACTTGCGATACTTAGAAAAGTCTGGGCCTAAGCTTTTACGGTGTAGCGCAATTGTCAAACCGACCTCTGGTCTACTCTCAACGTGGCGCAAAAGAGGTTATTCAGTCTTGTCTCGGATTTAAAGTTGTTTGCTAAGTGCACTCAGCAGTCGTGTCTTGGGAGTGCACAGCCGCACTGGGACTGTCGGTGGGACCAATACTTGACCCAGACTCATCCGCATCAGAGAGATCCTTGTCTGAGGTTGAGTGATGGGTTCAGAGACCACGTAGATCAAGTTGAGAAACTGTGGAAAAAAATATTTTCAAATTCCATTCAAAACAAACAACTCAAAAACCAAATCAGGCCAAAAACCAAATTTCTTTCTTGTCCTCAATATAAGGACACACTTCTTATTTATTGAGGGGTCTGATGAGACCCCTTCAATTTTCCACTTCATTTTACCTGTGGGACAATTGTATGTTTGAGATTCACTGGGAACAACCCAAAAGGAATTTTCTATTACAGTGTGATAGTGGATTATTTTTTTAATCCAACTGTTTGTAGAGTGTGGCCTCTTCTGTTTGGTTTTCTGGTCTTCGCTTCACCCTTCGTACGGAGTTTGCATCTTCTCCCGTTTCCTTCCACACCCTAAAAAATAAAATAAAATTGATCAAAAATAGCCATTGGGTCAAAAAGGTAGGGCAAAATAATAAGTAACATTAATTAAAATTTCACCCATTTTTGGGTAAAATGGGATCGGCCACTTTTTGACCCATTTGAGGATGTTTTTGACTCAACTGTTTTTTGGAGTGTTATAACAATGAGATCAGTACAAAGAGCATTTTACGGCCAAAAAGTACAAACATTGTTGGTGACGTAACGACGGCCCGATAAGACCGCCGCGGCAGAAAACTTGACGAGTCCACCTTTCAAGCGAATACGGTTTCATGTTGCCATTTGAGATATGACTTTTTGCAAAGTTACGTCGACTTATGAAACCTTGTGCAATTCTGGATCATACCCCCCCATTTAATTAACATCACATTTTGAAATGTGGTGCAAGCTTGATTCCCTTTCTGTAGAACATTAAACCACAAGAGCACATTCACCTGTGGAGCCTCCCCTTGCCGGCAACCCTCCCCAACGCGGCGTTACCGAAGCCCTCTCGCTTAAAGATTCATTGGTCCCTATAGACTCCAGCAGCCCAAACATATTGCGCCATTCAGCCGGTACTTATGTGTCATCTGTTATCTATTGCACTGGTGTTTCTGGTGAGCATATGAATGATAATCAGGGCCTTTGTGTGTCCAGAGAGGTGCAGCGGGATCTGCGCTCTGTGATGTTGCCTGAGGGGGGAGATTAGGAGGGGCAGCCGGCCCTCTGTGTCACGTCGACAGTCACAGCGCTCATCGTCGGCCGGGCCCAAACCCCACTGGGACCTTAAATCCTGTTACACTGTCAGCTAAAACCATCATTTGTATTAGAGATGTGTGGGTGTTTAAGTGCGCGTACATATTAAGTGAGGGGGGATAGTGTCTTAAAACGATGAATTATTCATACCAAAAGAAAAGGAGATATTGACTACATCTCCATAAACAGACTGCGCTCTTTATGTCAGCGGGCACGAGATCTTTGGGTATAATTGCATAAAAGCCGGTGAAAATGCTCTCCTCCTGCAGCACAGCAGGCACCGGTCAGCCTTATCGTCAGGGGTGAATTTGAGTGACGGCGATTGTTCCAACTTAATGTCGTATAAATAATTTACTCTTTGCAGTGTCGATTCCTCTCTCTTTTATCCAACATGAAGATTCTCCAAACAGCTGTAAGTCGGTTTCGCTCGGGGCATGGTTGTTGAAGTGCGGGCACACAGGCCTCATGATTTGAATTTTATTATTATTATTATTATTATTTTTTTTTTTTTGTGCAGAAAAAGTACAGTGCTCTAATGTGAGCATGCAGGCTGGATATCCCCCCCTCAGTAACAAGTGATGGTGGAGAATGACAATCTTTGCACTTCTGGCCTGCGCCTCCAGAGGGAGGTCAGAACTATTTGTCAGTCTCCAGTTGGGATTGCAAATTGGGATGAGCCTCCCTGCGTGATGACCTGCAGAACTTCCATTCCCAACAGCGGGGCGACTGCTTTACGTCATTTGGGAATTGATGCGCCGACCAGCAGCTTTCTGTTGAGCAATAATTTAAGCGGACACACATTTCATCTTCCCTTTGTGGTTTTAGAACATAATCTGACACATTTGGCCCATTGACTTATGTGACCGTTACAGCTGTGATTTTTTTTTCCAACACCTGTCGTGATCTTGTCACAAGTTTCGACGAGGTTGGCATGCTAATTCATGAGCAAAGGTATTTTTTGGTATCCTGTGATAACAGATCTCATCTCAGGGTTTAACTGCTCCTAATTCACTGTAATGTTGAAGCCTAATGACAGGTCTAAGGTTTATTGCGCATTAGCGGTGTGATGCTGAGCACATTACATGTTGCTGGGCCTCTTTTTAATGGTCACACAGACACCATTTATCCTGATGTGTTTCGAAGTGGATGGCCCCCCAAAAAAATAAGCCCACAAACAATTATTTGAAAGCAGTCTGATGGTGGGCTGTGCATGCATGCAGGGCACTTCTTGCCTGCTCCGTGTTTTTGACGTGAATGATTTAAAAAATGTCCAACTTTTTTTTTTTAGTGTTGGGGAAACTTGTCCTGTCTTTGAAGGTCGTGTTCAGAGCGCCTTAAAGTGAAAGAAAATGTTTTCCTATTAGCTAATTGAATGAGAGCGCAAAGCGAGGCCGCGCTGCTCCATGACAGAGTCGCCTTTGTTACGTCTATCCGCCGCTGTCACACACTTTAATTCGACTCTCTTTCTCCCTCATTGAAAGCCTCCACAATGACATTCAATAAGGGCCGCCGAGTGAAAACCTGGTTATTTTTACATATTCTTCCAAACCACCGCCCCTCCCGCCCGCGACTCGGCAGGGGCCCGAGCAAAGGAATTAATCACCGCTCTTTAACAGAACTGCCTTCAGGCAATGACTTGTCCCTTTTCTTGTGCCTAGAAAATGACACATTAACCCTAAATTGGTTTGCATAAACTTTACATTCAGCTGTTGCGTACGTATACATATAGTAAAAAAAAAACAAACAAGCAAAAGTAAAGCAAACGTTTCGGACGCATCCCCTCGCGATGGTGTCACCGAATAGCGTGCGCAAATTTCGAGCTTGCTTTTGCGCCACGCACCTCTTATTCCTGGCCAGGCTGACAAATCCTCGAATCCCGACCGCCGGCTTTCTAAATGTGACAATTGAAGCCGTGTTTTATGATAAAATAAGAGCGATGATAAAAGGCAGAATGGGGCAGTGCCGCCTCTCGCGGCGTGGGTGGGGCTGACAAGAATAGACTACATTATGCAGTTCATTTAGTTAACAAGTGAAATAATGGGGAAGCGTGCAGTGGGAATGCCGAGAGAAAAGCACAAAACCCTATTGAGGGCTCTCGGCCCGCTTGCAGCGTAACCGTCACATGGCCGAAGCGGCTCGGCTGCGCCTATTTAAGGAGCCCCCGGCGCGCCTTCAGCACCACTTCGCTGTCCACCCTTCCACGCGAGAGCACGCTGCCAACGTCCCACGCCTTTTGCGGCCGCACAACTCACCCACGACTTTTCCGCACGCCCGCCACCATGCCGAGGTCTTTTCTCGTGGATTCGTTGATTTTAAGAGAGGCCAACGACAAGGGGAGCGAGAACAGCCCGCCTCTCTTCCCCTACGCGGTGCACTCGCCGGGCCACCCCGCGCACGGGCTGCCGGGCTCCTGCCACTCCAGGAAGGCCGGGCTGCTGTGCTTCTGCCCGCTGTGCATGGCCGCCTCCCAGCTGCACCCGTCCCCGCCCGCGCTGCCGCTCCTCAAAGCTTCCTTCCCGGCCTTCGGTTCGCAGTACTGCCACACGGCGCTGTCCAGGCAACACGGCTCATCCAACAGCATCAACCTCGCCCACGGAGCCGCCATGTACCAGGCCGCCTACGCGGTCCCGGATCCGCGACAGTACCACTGCATCTCCATCGGTGAGTCCGTCGCCGAGTGCGCACCTCTCCTTCCCTCATCCCTCATCCCGCGTGTACTTGACGACCCCGTTTCATATTTTGGCAGAAAACGGCAACGGCAAACTTCAGAGCAGCAAACGCATGCGCACGGCCTTCACCAGCACGCAACTTTTGGAGCTGGAGCGCGAGTTCACGTCCAACATGTACCTGTCCAGGCTGAGGCGCATCGAGATCGCCACCTACCTCAACCTGTCCGAGAAGCAGGTCAAGATCTGGTTCCAGAACCGCCGAGTGAAGCACAAAAAGGAGGGCAAGAGCGGATCCGGCGGCCCACGGACTGCCACCAACGGCTGCAAATGCTCGTCGGCGGCCAGATGCTCGGAGGAAGAAGAGGACGACATGCCCGTGTCTCCTTCCTCATTCTCCGAAAAGGATGACGTGGACTTGTCCGTCTCCCCCTGAGCACCCATCTGGACGATTTATTATTATTTTTTAAATGTAACATGAGCCAAAAAGACTGTTCCACTTCTGTAAATACGAAGAGAATATTTAATCAGGGAATTGTCCTGAATTATTGTATAATTCTGTATACATGTTGTACGTTTTGTAATGTAGTTTTTTTTTCTTCTGAAAACGGTCCATTTGTTGTTGCCGAAACCTTGAGTATGGTCGGTATATTTGTAAAGGCGAACCCTGCGCCGTTTTTTGAGCTCGGACTCAAATCCTATGATTCAATGTGATTTCAAATGTATTTATTTATTTAAAAATGTGGGGAAATAAAAGCAGATTTCTGAGCCGTACGAGTTGTGTTGTCTCGGTGGTCTTTTTTTTTTTTCTTTTGCGCGCCTTTGTGCGCGCGTAAACCTGAGCCAAGTTCATGCGAGTCGACTGGACTTGACTCATGTTTGCAAATGTGCACACAAATACAAAAGAATAGTATTGCTTTCACAAAACGTGTAGCTCATCTTCAGAAATGTTGTATTTTATAATAAATACAAAAGCGACTGTGGTGTGCAGAGAGACGTATTCCCAACACATTTTGATATTGAGTATCCTACTTGGCCGTCTCGACAGATTGCTCAAGTACAACCTGGAGTGACAAATGAAATGTTTTGTCTTGTTTCGTGCTGAAGTAATAAATCTAATCTCTTGGCGTTTTCTCCCGTGGGGGGACCTTTCAAGCGGATTTCACTGCCACGCACTCACTCATTCATTTGCGGTTTTAGGCTGAAACGAGAAGTCTCGTGTGACTGCGTGAGTTAATCGTCACCGCGAGTGAATAAACGCGCATCATTTAGGGTGCGTATGGCCTCAGATATCGATCGGGTATGAAAATTAAATGAGGAGCCACTGCTTGGTGTCCGTGACCCGCATTATTGTTTTGTTAACGCGCCCCAAAGTGTGCTCAAGTTTATTGCCGCATTCATGAGCAGGTGGCTTGAAGCCTAAAGGGAATAAATACAATACGCCTCATTTTCTGTTACCCTGAATAAAACATCGCTATTTATTGACGTCATCTTTTTTTATGTACACAAAATGGAAACCGCAAAAAAGATGAAAAAAAAAAGAATATGGATAAAATGTGCCATTTATGGTCAAATCGTGCGTTGTCAAATGTCAATCGAATGTTTCGGATAAAAAAAAAAATCGGCGGTTTAAAAAAATTAATATTATATGAATATATGTATTTTAATAAATAATATATGTCTTCTCGCATAGCCTGTGCGCATAGTGTCCACGCACTGACTTTCTCCTTTGTTTTACGCACTGTTCCAGCCGCTTTCTGCTGGACTGTTTGGACCCTAAACCGATCTTATTGTAGTGAATACACTTTAATTTATATCTGCCTCATTCTAAACATATCGTATAATTTTGTAAAGGGCAAAAAAAAAAAAAAAACTAAACACGCCAACCTCAAAAGTGCACAGCCTGCTATTTGCATCAATGTCCCTTTTGGAAGTTACGTTTCGCTTTTAAACCTCCCTTTAATGGTTCACTTAAGCATTTTAACAAAACGGCAATATTTGCATTTGTTAAGATGTGGGATTAGACTATTTTGTTAATTGCATCATATAGCCCCATTTTGCCCCAAATGTGCTCTCTGCAAAGCAGCCTTTATCCATTCAATAGCCCGGGGCTACGCGCCCTGGGGGAGCTTAGACGGCCGGTGCTCCAAATGCTTAATTTATTTATTCTTAATTTTGTGCCGATCAATTCATTGAAGCAAAAAGGACCACGGTGTCTTTTTAAAAGGAAGAAAAGGGGATTGTGGACGTAACCTCGACGGGGCTGACGAGAGGGCTCCCCTGACGCTTGGAGAGCCGCTTGAGTCAACAGGCGCCCATCTCGCAGACTCGCCCTCGTCTTTATCCCGGCTAATTTTTTATTTACGGCTTTCCTTTGACATGTCTCTTATCTATCAGATTAAAAGAACGGCTTGTAACAAATCAGTCTGCCCGATTTACAACAGCATTAAAAGGGGACAAAAGGAGCAGGCAGTCAGTACCTGAGAGTCTGGTAGACGGGCGCAGCGCTGCAGCTGATTCGATGGTTTGAAAATACGCACGAAACAAAATACTTGAATCCTGAAAAAGAGCCTTTGTACGTTTCTTTAGAAATCAAGCAATTCTGCATGACAAAGGACAATTAATAAGCCGTCTTTTCACGACCAGCAGCTGGTTTCCCCGTCAAGGAAAGTTGGAAAAAATTCAGGCTGAATGCGCGCAAAAGCCCCTTTGCGCGCAGACAGCAACCCAAGGTGACCCATTTGGCACAGTTAAAATAACCGAGCCGAGGTAAAAGCGAGGGAACTGTCAAAAACATTTAAGCTGAAATATCTTGAAATTGCAAATCCCTTTATGTGGAGGGACGCTGCCGATGTGGGTTAGTGGTACAAAGGAGGTGGTTAAGTTGGAGAGGCTTTGCAAACGGACACGTGGCTTCTCAATGAGAGCGTGGCTTGCTCGCTGCAGCCGCTGCACACTCGACTATACTTTCAAAAAAACTTTTGAGGCCCACTAAATAATCTATAGAGCCGCCGGCGGGCAAACCACAACATTTTTTAGGTTAGTTTTTTTTTTTTTAAAGTTGTTTCGACCTGTTTGTTGAAAGGATAAATAGCAGCTGCCGCTTTGAAACGTGTTCTATCTTTCAAGCAAGAACAATTATGAGAATCAATTCCTATTTGGAGATAGTACAACGACTTTCTTGTTTCAGTTTGAAAGGATAAGTACTTTTTTTCAGCCTTTTACAATATATCACATAAACAAATACAACTGGCATGTTTATGCATGGCGAATGTTTGTTTAGCTAACTTCACTTCATAAATAGTGAATGATTTTGTGTGTTTTACCACTAACCCAATACTTACTTCTCTTTGTTGCCGTTGATTTTTTATTTTTTTGAATAAAGCAAGCTAGATCATTCCATGCATTTTTTTTTTTTTTTTTTTTTTTTGGGAAGAGGGGCCAGGGTGGGGTGCAGAGCCCTTGTCAAAGTGTCAGAGAAGGAAACTGGCGCCTTGAACTCCTGAGTGTATTCTCGCTGCAACATTTGAACCCATTCAGCTGCATATAATCTGTTTAACAGCTAATCAGTAATGTAAGATGAAGGACTGGCACGCAGCCTCACTTCTCCCACATGTGCCCCCCTTCTTAATTGAATATTCAACGCGCGCAACCGTGCTTTGCTTTGCCTTTTTTTTTCTTCTTCCAGGGTGCTCAGAATGCGCCTTTCTAATTCGGCCTCCGCTTATAGAAGCGGTGTCAGAGGTCGACTAATAATGAACTGACGTAGACATGGAAGTGACCTCTGCAAGCGCCAATTTATAGACTTGGACGTGCGTGTGACGCTTGTCCTTTACGCGTTTGGGTGCACTTTCTGCTTGGGTTTTATTTATTTATTCACATCTTATCGTATCTTGAGAATTCACAAAACACTGTTGGATTTTTTTTACCTCTTCGCGATGACAATATATCGCGGTTGCGATGCCACATGCAAGGCTGTGATGTTTTCGAGGAGAAACACTGCAATTACGAATCAAATCCATTTGAAAACAAGTGCGATTTTTACGCAGCAAAGCACCGTTGTTTGGTGGTGTTTTTAAGGATAAAACGTGGATGGCATTCATTTGCCGTCCGTTGATTGGGTTACGAGGCGAGTTACTTTGCTGCTCCTGCAGCACACATCACGCACTTGCTTATTATTTTACTTGGTCGGTGTGCGTCCAGCTGGACTTGCACCAGGGCTTGCTTTTGCTCTCCCGCAGTTTGGCGCATGAGCGCCATCTGCTGGTAAAAAAAAGACAAACTTGGGTTCCTTTCCACATAGAAGCTCACAATTGCCAAGTGTGGCGTTTCAAAACAAACACACAAAAAAAAGGCCCCATATTTTTTTTCTTCCACTGCTAAAATAACATGATTGAAACCAGCAATGGAAATGTAACTAAGCCACCCTCCTGCATTTGATGAAACGTTGTGTCACTGATTACAGTTATAGTCTCCAAAAAACGACGAATATGCCCAACGTATCTCTGTATGTTGTCCTAAACTACTGTGCGTACACCAAATGTGTAGCATTTACGACAACAGCAGCAAAGCAAGACGGGCCACCACAACTCATATTTTTTTTCATGTTCTTTTGGTTCCGACATGGTGGAAGTACTGTATGGAGGACTTGCACACCACTCGAACCAAGACAAGGCTCTGTCCATGCAATACCCTGAAGGAACACCAATAGATCAACAATGTTAATATTAGTTACAGTTACTTAGAATAAGTCCTCCCCGGCTCTTCTGGCCTACGCTGTTGCGGGGGAAATTTCTCCCCAAATTCTGATCCGTAAAAAAAAAATAAAAATACTAAAACATTTCATTTAAAGAACTGTTTATTCTCATAATCTTCATTGTGGTCAAGCTCTCCGAAGGAGGCCTTTTCTTGGGAGACATTTTACGCGTCCACTTTAGGCGAAAATGACAAAACAACCAAATAAAAACAGCGACGGTCATCGAATCGTGCACCCAACACATTGTCATTTGGGAAAACAATATCAAACATATAAAATTGTTTCTAGATGCTTTCGGTGGACATTGATACAGGCAGCATGCACAAGGGGAGTAACTCTCGATTTTTACATGTCAGCTGAATCAATCGCCTTTGCTCCTCCTCGCAAAAGCATCTTTGTCAGATAAAAAATAAAATGTAAACATATAAAGAACATAAAGTTACACCCCAAAAAAAGGTTCTTCCTCAGGTTAAGATGATGGTCGGATTTACAGTCTGTATACCAGAAAGTGTATTTCCTTTTAAATTAGACAATCACAGTCAAAATCTTGATACTGTTTCCTTTATTTCCTTCTGTTGAAAGTTGACTTCATGTCGCCGATAGACGCATCTTAGCAGGATAGTTCCTGCACGCGATATGATCAGAGCCATTATAGCTAGCGCAGGTTATCGTTATCAGTTTTATGTACACTTGCGTTGATCCCAAAGCCTTCACGTTGGAGGATTTGTCTCAAGTGGATGCAACAAAACACGAAAAGGTTGCAGGACAAACACTGGTTTCTGAGAGCTCAATGTCAGTACATCACAATGCGATTGATGTCACATTTTCGAAGGCAGAGTGCTACAGTTCAATTCTTGCCGCGATCTGGTTCGGAGCTGCCAATCTTGATCCATCATTGACAGTTTTGAGATTTGCGGCCGTTCGACAGAGTGCAGCCCACCAGTGAATTGACACATTTTTCAGCGCTACCAGGAAGATATTTTGCTAGACTTCCTAAGATATGGATGGAGCT